AGCAAGCTGTAATCATTAACAACCTCAAACTCTTCTTCATCTAACATGATGTTGCCAATTGACCCAGTGGTGAGAATCTTTGTCTTCTTGATGTTAAGCATCAATACATATTGAAGACTACAGTCCTTGACCTTCTGCAGCAAGCATTTCAGGTCTTCTTCAGCTTCAGCAAGCAAGTTTGTGTCATCTGGATAATGTAGGTTGTTGATGAGTCTTCCTCCAGTTTGTTTTTTTATTATTTTATTTTGTCTTATTATTTTTTGTGTGTACCATTAAATCAGATCTGACTAGTACTGGAGGATATTGTTCCTCCTTCTCAAGCAGAGCATCTGGTGGATTTGAGCAGTGTAGCTATGGAATAGTAGTGCAGCTTCTTGCCACTAGGCCATCAGAGCTCCCTTTCTCCAGTTTTTTTTATAGCTTCTTGAATTTTATTCAATGCTAATGATGTGGCTTCTGTGAGTACCCTTGGTGAATTAGGATTACCATTTCCGTCTAAAATATCAAAGAGAGGTTTTAACTCATGTGTAGTTTTTTTTTCTTCCATTTTCTTTTTCTTTATTTTTTTATTATTAAATTTTATTAGTTCTAATGAACATTTACAGGAATTTTGGGTTTTCATTCCTTCATTGCTGCACCATTTTCTCTACCCTCCTCCCCAGTTTGTTCTTCTTCCCCCGCCATCCGAATGTCTGTTTTAATTGTCCAATTGCCACAGTGCTTGTCAAAGTCAGTTCTGATTAATCTCCTTTGTCAGTGTGTCCTTTGCCATTCCCTATCACTCCTCCCTGAGAGAGATTTCACCCTGATTCATAAGGAAAAGGGGATGGCGTGTTCTCTTAGCTACTTCCTGTTGAAAAGGGATGCTGTGGGTTTCAGGGTGAAGATCTTCTCTCACTACTCTAAAGGGCCCCTTTGGCAGTAGGAAATACATAGACTACTATGGAGATTGATTTTGGAATTTAGATGTACTGTTATTAATTGTGCTTAGCCGTACATGTTCATATCCTTGAAGATGTATCATGGGGGTGTTGCAACCTAGAAGACACAAATTTAACTAACAAGTTATAAGTGCATGAGTCAAAAATTATGGAAAAGTAAAAGAAAAGATTCTTTCATTTTTTTACAAACCCTCCCCCAGGTCCCCTCCACCATGGAGCCATCGCTCTAGACTCCTGTGATGACAGAAATACCTAGTCACATATCTCTTTTAAACAGTTTTCTCCCTCCTCTGTTTCAGTGCAATATACATTATTGAACCCATCTTACTCAGTCTCTCCCCAACCCCAAGGTTAGTCTCATTCTATAACACTGGCATCATGTAATATTTGTCCTTTTGTGACTGGGATATTTCATTCAGCATAATGTTCTCCAGAGTCAACCATATTGAATAATATTGCATGACTTCCTTGTTTTTCAATGCAGCATAGTATTCTATTGTGTGAATATACCACAGCTTCGCTAGCCATTCGTTTGTTGATGGGCACTTAGGTTGTTTCCAACTCCTTGCTATTGTGAACAAAGCTGCAATAAATATGGGTGTGCATATATCTGCTTGGATGTCAGCTACCTTTCTCCAGTTTTGATGTTACATTCCTCCTCATAAGTTTCTGCTTCCTGAATGACTTGTTATGCATATAGATTGAAAAGGTATGGAGATAGAATGCATCCCTGACACACTCCTTTCCTGATTTTGAATCATACAGTGTTTCCCTGCACTATTTTGACGACTGCTTCCTGGTCCAAGTATAGGTTTTATGTAAGCACAATCAAGTGTTTTCGGATTCCAGTTTTACTCAAGGTTAGCTATAATTTTTGTGCTCCACACAGTCAAATGCCTTTGCGCAGTCAATGAAACACAGAAAGACATTCCTCTGGTGCTCTTTGCTTTCTTCCAAGAGTCATCTGACATTGACCATAATGTCTCTCATGCCATGACCGCTTCTAAACCCAGCTTGCATTTCTGGTAGTTCTCTGTCAATGTACTATTCTAGTCGTTTCATCACACACTAGCAAAATCCTGCTGAAGATTATTCAGAAACAACTGGAACATTACATTGACAGAGAACTACCAATGAAATCTTAGCCAATATAATCCAAAACCATGTTGTTGAGTACCATCAAGTTGGAACCAAACCACAGCTGACCCTATAGCAGCTTTTCAAAGACAATTAATGACACAGGAGGAGATCACTATCCTTCTCCCATGGAGCAATTGGTGAATTCAAACTGTGTATCTTTGGGATTGCAGTGCAGCTTCTTACCAGTAAGTTACCAGAGCTTCCTACATATCTGTCTTTATATCTGCCTTCGCAAACCCTATGTATGACAGAGCATGGGAGGAGATTGTCCATTCTTATCACACCAAGCAGCTGGTTGCCTTGAACCTTATGTATTTGGGATTGCAGTACAGTTTCTTACCACAGGCCACCAAAGCTCCCTAATGTGATACTATATCAATGATAATAAGAATATCTCATGATGGAGGGATTCACATCAGGAAGATTCAACATTAGGAAAACAATCAATGTACTTCACTATGTAAACAAAATGTAGGAGAAAAACTACATTATCATATCAATCGATGCAGAAAAGACATTTGATAAAATACAACACCTATTTCTAATTTCAAAAGAAAAAAGTTCAGTAACATATTAATAGAAAATAAATTATTCAACATAACTACAGACATATACACAAAAATTATTCTCAAAAGAGAGAAACTGGTGGGTGAGGAGAGTGGAAGGGAAATGGGAAGGATCCAATGAAAAGACAGGGCCAAGGTCCAATGGTTGTTAATTTTGTAAGACACAATGCATGTGAATGATATAGTATAAAACAAAAAGTGAATGAAAAATAGTATGAAATATAATGTATACAAAGTTTATAAGCAAATCAATTTAGAAATAAAATAATGAGGGACCAGACAGGGATTTCCTCTATCACCACTCTTATTCAATATTGTACTGTAAGTTCTGTTATCAAATCAGAACAGGCACATAGCTGACCCTTTGGTAGGTTTTCATACTATATATAGCATTGAAGGAAAGTGCCTATCTTTCTCTCAAGGGCTCTATTGGAGTCAAACCATTTGGTTTTGGGTTGGCCACGTAACTACCACTGAGCCACCAGAGCTTTTCACTGCAGATCTTAGGGCAATAACCTAGAAAGGAAAAGAAAGAGTATCTAAGTGAATATGAAAGAAGTAAAACTATGCTACTTGCAGATGATATGATGCGTTCAGGGAACCCTAGTGGCCTCATAAGTAGGGTGTTGCACTGCCAAACCAAAGGTCAATGGTTCAAATCCACCAGCTGCTCTGATGAAAAAACGTGAGCTGTCTCCTCCTGTGTAATTAACTGCCTCTAAATACCCCCTCCAGGGTCAGCTATGAGTCTGTTCCAACCCCACACCATGAGTGAGAGTTGATGATCCTATACATAGGAAATCCCAGACACTGAACAAGAGACTATTGCATGAAGAATCAAAAGATTCAGTAAAGAGACAAGGTGTAAGATTGTTTTTGTTGTTGTATGTTATCGGTTCTCAGCTCAGATACCTTCCCTGTCCTGAGCCAGTATCACTGATTTCAGCACACCAATCCCCACTGCCCCAAATACTGTATCAGTCCATCTCATCCAGGGTTTTCCTCTCCTAAGCTTTCCCTTCACCTTTCCGAGCATGATGTCCTTCACCAAGGATCTGTATCCTCTGCCCACATAACCAAAGTATATTAGAGGAGTTTCAAAATCCTAACCTCCAAGAAGAAATTTGGTTTCACTGTGTCATATACAAAAATCAGTTTGTTTTCCTATACCAATAAAGAGAACTTTAAATAGGAGTAACCAAATGGTATTTACAATAGCTGTCAAAAATAGAAAATACTCAGAAATTTAAAAAAGAAGAAAACTAATCAAACTACAAAACACTATTGCAAGACACAAGAGACATACATGCTTATGGATAGAAAGATTTAACAATGTGAAAGTGTCAATGCCAAATAAAGCCATCTATAGATATAAAGCAATCCTGATCCAGATTCCAACACCATTCTTTAACAGGAAGTAAAAACCCAAGCATCAATTGTAACTCAACAGGAACCTGGATCAACAAAGCAATACTGAGAAAGAAGTACAGAGTGGGATGCTTCACACTCCTAAGCCTCAAAACTAACCAAATACCATGGTTTTCAAAATGGCCTGGTGGCTCAGTTCTGTTGGCACACTGACCAAAAGAACTGAACTAAGAGCCCAGAAATAAATCTTTCCATTTATTGGCAGATAATCTTTGAATAAAAAAAAATCTATAAATGGAAGACAGATAATCTTTTTAACAACAATACTATAAATACTGGATATACATTTGCAGAAAAAGTAAACAAGATGCATTCCTCAATCTAATATAAAATTAAGTCAAGATGGACAAAAGACCTAAGAACAAAATTTAAAACTATAAAAAGCATAAAAGGGAAAAAAACCAACAAAAAAATAAGGACAATCTTAGGACTTTAAATTATGGCAGAAATAATCTCACAAAATAAACCAAGCAGATGAAAATCCTGATGAAAACTGAGAAGAAAACACCTGGGTTTTACCTGAAAGAACACTTAATATTAAATAAAAGGGAATCATTTCATTTAAATAAGTATAGAGACTTACAAAGGATTCTGACTCAAGTTTTAAAGAATAAGACACTTTTAGCGATCTGGAAAAGGTCAGCTGTCCATAAGGAGTGTGCTCTCAACTCAAAGGCTGCAACTCTGGTTGTTTGAATTCACCAGCAGCTGGTCTATGCCCTCTCCTTCCAGGTCGCAGCTATGGTGGTGGCAAATTCAAGACCTGTCAACCCGGTGGTGTTCTTTGATGTCAGCATTGGTGACCAGGAAGTTGATCACATGAAGATCAAAGTTTTTGCAGATGTTGTGCCTTTTAGGCAGTTCTACACAGGAGAATTCAGAAAAGATGGAACTCCAAGAGGAAACAAAGGGAGCACTTTCCACAGGGCCATAAAGAATTTCATGATCCAGGGTAGAGATTTTGTTAATGGAGATGGTAGTGGAGTTGCCAGTATTTACCAAGGACCATTTGCAGATGAAAATTTTAAACTTAGACACTCAGCTCCAGGCCTGCTTTTCATGGCAAACAGTGGCCCCAGTACAAATGACCGCCAGTTCTTCATCACCTGTTCTAAGTGTGATTGGCTGGATGGGAAGCATCTTGCTGAGAAAGCAAATTCTTCTTGAAGGATGTTTACCCCGATAGTAAAAAATAGCTAATCATTTCAACTAAAAGGAAAGGGGTGTAACCTAATGCAGTTGAAAGTTCAAGAGTGCATAAAAACAATAAGAATAATTAAAGAGGATACATCAAAGAAATAATTCACCATGATCAAGTGGGATTTATAACAGGTATGCAAGGATGGTTCAACATAAGAAAAACAATTACTGCAATTCATCACATTAACAAAGCAAAGAACAAGAACTACATGATCCTATCAGTTGATGCAGAAAAGGCCTT